TTAAAAACTTAATTTCATTATTAAATGTTTATATTTTTTACAAGTAAACAAAAATATGTACCATATTTAACATGTTTCAAGAGTTTAGAGCAAGTTGTCTTCACTCACTTTGTGTTTTTGGCCATGTGATATGCAAGTGGCAGATTAGGTAGCACCATGTCAGCAACTAAAAAAAATTTCATTAATCTAATTGGTTGATGTTGGTAAAATAGACCGTTTTAATATAAAATTAATAGTTTGTAGATCATTTTGAAATAAAAATTTATTTTTAAATTAAACTGATATAAACTGTATAGTTAATAAATTATTTATTAAATTTAACCTTAAAAAAAAAGTTCTTAACATAGTTTCCAAATCCTAATCTGCACAACCATATACAAGAACAGGGGAAAATATACTAGAATCACATCAAATAAGATTCAATAAAAATTAGATGCAAAATCTAGCTAGATGATTGTTTTTTAGCAAGATCCGAACTGGAATTGAAGAAAGATGAAGTTTTGTTTGAAATTGAATATAGGGCTCTAATGGTCTTCTTCTCGATGCCCAATCTGCAGTTTTTTCTCCTTCAACTACACATCTCCCTTGCTAATTCTCTCTTGATATGGACTCCCTTGGCCAGAGAAAATAATATTTTTCCAATGCAAGTTACATGGACTCATGCCCAAAACCCAAACATGAGACTTTATTGAAAATTCCTGTTCGTTCTTTGAATTTTCATTTGGTCTTCGTTGGATTAACTTGAGCCATAATAAAAGAAAATTAGAGAGGAAGACGAAAGTGGACGTGGTTCACCTCTCCGAACCTTCATAGGATCTAATAAATTCTGAGTCCCCCTCTTCTATCTTTAATTTTTTGTGCTTAAGTTTTGGTAAAGATTAGCAGAGAACAAGAAGAGTTGTGAGCAATGAAAACAGAGTAAAAACCTTTAATTTTTTAAATTAAACATTTAATTATTTTAAGAAATTACAAGTAAGGAATTTCGTGGCCGTCACATTGGTTCGTTCTACATTACCGTTCCCAAAATTCATTCTCCCTATTATTACTCTATGCCCAATTGTGAGTTTCTATCTTTGTGAAAGTTATAACTTGTAATAGATTTGAAAATCCATTGTACTCACATAATAAAAGATTTTTAATTGATAAAAAAATAACTGAGATCAATTAATTAATCACTTCCATTGCCTATTTTCCAATTTATACATATATATAATAATAATACATATCTGTTTTAATATTTTTAAAAGAAGTTAAGGCCTCAACTTTAAATAATATTATTTTATTTAATTAAAACTTTAATTAAATCTATTTTATTAAATATTAATATTTACATTTAAAAATTAAAAATCTAATTAAAAATTTTAACATCTATTTTATTAAATATTAATTCATCTATTTAGAAATTGATTATATATTTTAATATAATCAGATATCAAATTTATATATCAATATTTAATAAA